TTGCTTTTTGTGGAACCGGGGATTGAACTCAGACCCTTGCACTTGCCAGGGAAGTGCTTATTCCACTAAGCCATCTCCCCAGCCCTATTGTAGTCTTCTTAATGGTTATTCATAGTACAAGATGCAGACATGATATCCTGTCCACAAACATTGCAAGATTCTTAGAGGGGGAATTGTACAGTTAATTTCTACATGTCCCAGGGGAGCTACCAAGTGAGTCATCCATCACCAAAACTTAAGATCTAGATGTGACCTGCAGAGAGAACATAACCCGTGGAGAATCTTAGACCAGCTGCGGGGGAGGCTGAGCTTCCACTGAAAGAGTGCAGAGATCAGTGATACTACCAAGCAGTATTGGTCGGATGTGTTCACTTCCCACTCTGGGCTGAAAACTGATACTTTCCCACGTGGCCTGTTTCCTGTGGTCGCAATCAGCATGTAGACATTTGACTTGTGAAAGAAACCATATTGTGAAAACTACTTGAGACATTTGTCCAAAGTTGACATCTGCTGCGGTCACACACAGGACTCAGCGCTGGAGCAAAGCTGACAGGCAGCAAAGCTGGCTTGGCACTAATGTCCGAGTGGACCTGGATGGGGTGGAGCCTCAGTGTCCTCCTCTGTAAAGTGAAGTGGACACCGATGCTGCGAGGGTGTCCTGAAGCTTCTGTGAGGTGGGGAGGGGCATCGGGGACCTGGAATCCCGGGTTGCCCCACTTCTGTCAGGACTCCCGCACTTCCTGCCAACATCTGCCCATTCTGGCTGTACCTCACCTCACTGTTTCTGAAAACGTCGGGCCCAGCCAGGCCTCCTGACTTGAACTGGACAGGTCTTCCCAACTGGCAGTTTCCCTGCGTCCTCTCAATGCATGATTTCTCACTGTTTGTCTAGTTTTCACCTCCTGATTCTGAGTTGTCCTTTGTCAAGGCATTTTCAGCTTGGATGCTGCTATTTCTATCAAGATTTTGGGTAGAAATAAGTTAGTTTGGGTGATATTGTTTTAAAATTATTTTTCTTAAAAATTTTCAGCAAAGGACAACTCTTAAAACATCGGCTATTTCCTAGCTTTCAGGTTTCCATGTATTTTTGCTATGAACAATACCTTTCCTTCAAAAGCTAGGATTGGAGATCCCATTCAAGCCAGCTAGTCCCCTCTTGAGTATTTTTCTAGAAGAACCGAAAACCTCGTGCCACAGCAATATATGTGCACCCATGTTTGTGGCAGAATAATTTTTTCATAATCAAATCCTGGAAAGAGCCCAGATGCCCATCAACTGAAGCTGGATAAAGAAGATGTGGTGTTTTTACACAATAGAGTATTATTCAGCTATAGAACAGGATACATTTGAGTCTTTTGTCAATAAATGGATGCAACTAGAGAACATACTCTTAAGTGAAATAAATCAGGCCCACGTGTGCAAACATGTTGCCTCCTTAGAGTAAGCATCTGAAAGAGAGAAATGGAATCTGAACGATAGAATAGATACTTGGAAAAAGGAATGAACTTATTAAAAAGGAAAGAGTGGGACCGAGGAGATGGCTCAATAGAATAAGCTCTTGCCTGGCAAGCACAAGGGCCTGAGTTCAATCCCTGGTTCCACCAAAAAACAAAAAAACAAAAAAAAAACAAAAAAAAAAAAAAAAGGAAAGAGTTACTGAGTTCAGGAGGATAGGAGAGGGCGTGGAGGAAAGAGATTTATCTATGTATGTAAGCAGGATGGTTTGGACAACTGTACTCTGCATTTCTGCTGGTCTATGGAAAGAAGCAGTTCATGCTTTGTTTTGTGTCCTTTTTTCAGTTGTTTGTGCTTTTTTCTCTTCTTAATTTATTATACATTTCTTTTTCTTTTTTTCTTCTTCCAATTTGACATGCATCTATCTGGGAATATGAATAACTGGTTGGAAGACACTATGTATTACCACAAATGCTGTGAAATTCGTATTACTTTAAGTGAAATTCTGCATCACTTGTAATTTTTTCTGTTTTATTTCTAATTTGTACTTTCTTTAAAAAATAAAAAAAGACCCAACCCCCAACAGGAAGAGACCCTGTCCCCTATTCATGCCTGCTTGCTACATGACTTGCTTTCCCATTTGATACTGGATTTAATCAATTTCACCTGAGCAACGGTGCTTGTAATCTCGTTGGTTGACCATAGTTTTGTCCCACCTCATGCCCACCTAAGCAAGTTCCCATGTCTTCTCCACCACCTTAGACACGTCTCAACACATGGTTTTCCTCTATAAAAGTCCCTGCAAGAGACAACTTCTCGGGGGGAACTACCCCCTCAGATACCCCCTCCTGTCCCTCTCTCAGGACAGGAGCTTTCTTTCTCTCAATAAATATATTCTGCTCATAAAAAAATAAAAAAGAATATCTTTAGCATTCACAGTGTGTAATCATTACTCCACTCAAAAAACAGAATGTGTTTTCAGTTCTTCTGGATAAATACCCGGGAGGGTAATAGCTGGGTGGAATGGGACCTCTAATCATAGTATTTTAGGCATCTCCACACTGATTTCCACAGTGGTTGTGCCAGTCTACACTTCCTCCAACTGTGGAGAATAGTTCCTTTTCCCCCACAGCCCCTCTAGCACTTGCTATTGGTTGACTTGTTGAGGATAGCCATTGTTTCTGGCATGAGACAGATTTTCAGGGTTGTTTTAATTTGAATTTCTCAAATGACCAGTGATGTGGAACCTTTTTCTCATCTATTTATTTGCTATTTGTGTTTCTTCATCTGAGAAGTATATGTTCATCTCAGATGCCCATTTTTGGGCTGGGTCTTTGAATTTGGGAGGCTTGAGTGTTAAAAAGTTCTTTATATGTCCTAGATAGAAGTCCTTTGAGGAACAGTTGCCTAAAATTTTTCCCAGTTCATGGGCTTTCTTTTTACTCTATTGGTGATTTCTTTTGATGTGCAGAAACTTTTGAAAATGATGAGATTACAGTTGTTGATTCTTTGAGGTACTTTACATGTACTTAGGTTTTTGTTCACGAACCCTGTACCTACCCCTATGTCTTCAAGGATTCTACTTATTTCTCCTCCAGTAGCTTTAATGTTTCTATTTTAATATTTAAATATTTGATGTATTTTGACTTTATTTTAGTGCAGGGTGATAGATATGGGTCTAAATTTAGTCTTTGGCATGTGGAAAGCTAAATTTTCCAGCACCATATATTAAAGAGGATATCTTCCAGTAAACATGTTTGGCTCCTTTTTCAAAGGTAAGTTGGCTGAATGTGTTTGTAGTTGTGTCTGCATATTCTAACTTGTTCCATTAATCCTGAGGTCTGTTTTACTTTCCAGTACCATGCTGATTTTATCACAGTAACTTTGTAGTATAATTTTGAGTCAGGAATTGTAATGCCTCCTACCTTTCCTTTGTTGCCCAGGATTGCCTTTGCTATTCTAGGTCTTTTCTGGTCCACGCTGACTATTTTTAACTGAAGCATCTATCCAACTATAATTGACAGAAATATTCCCGATTACATTTTGCTCTCAACCAATGTAACCAATTGTACATTACTTTATCTCTCCAATTTTGCCTTCTTTCAGTTTACTCAGTTTTTTCAGTGTACTTTTAACTATTTTTTTAAATTTACAAGTTAAATATTATGATTCTAACTCTTTTAGTTGTTGCCATAAAAATTATCAAATGCACAGGAAGTTTACTGAAGTCTTATGAAATGAAAACCTCTCTCTTCTTTTCCATAATATGTAGATCATAGGAAACATGAATCTCCTTACTTCCATTTGTACTTAGCGTCTCATTATCAGGACTTCTAAAACCATCTTTTGATGTATTCTTCAGATAAGAAATTTCCCCATTTATTTGCTCTGAAAGATATTTATTGGTTTTTAATTTGAGCTTCTATATGAAGTATGGATTATAATTTTTGATGTTAAAGATAGCACTTTCTTTTGCCACTTTGTTCCCACTCTTTACTCAGCCGTTCATTAAGCTGTACTTCCAGTGAAAGTAGTCTGTCTTGTATCCCTGGTTATTGCTCAGGTTTTCTCTTTGCCTTTGGTTTTCTTTTGCTTCCCTTGACCTGATACAAACTCAAAGTGAGGATATTATCCTGTGAAACTTCCCATCCTGGGTAGGGTCCGAGCCCGGACTTTCATTTCTTGGGGCTACGTGCAAGACGACAATACCGAAACTCAAGTTTTCAATATGAGCGTGTGGCCATTGGGAAATTTGTCATTTTATTTTAGATCTTCTGCTCACTTTCCTGATTCATACTCTCCCCCAACTTGTGGCCTATTTAGCTCGTGTTTTCCTCTCAGGTTTTCTGTACTTTTTAGTGAATACTTTTTTACTTATTCATGATTTAGAGAATGTTACCGTTTCAACCTGAAGCTTGATGAGAAGGATCAAGCCTGGTGTAATCAAAGTAGCAGTCACCCCTAAACTAAAAGAACTGAAAATAGGGTTTGGACGGTGGTTATTTGGAATCAGTGTCCTCTGATATTATCCTGGAGCTGTCTACTGCTTTCCTCGTACTTTGACAATTCAAGAAATAACAGGTGCAGTTTTTCTAAATGTGGGTGCTGCTATACGATCTTTTATTGCTTTTGTTTTAGCGCTGAAAGATCAAAATTGGTTCAGCCTTAGAGAAAGGGGCGCATGGGCTCCTCTGCAGCCCACTCTCCCAACACAAGTCTGCTCTTGCACCCATGTTCAAGGGAAGAGACGGTGTAAACGAGAGCAGGTAGGATGACGTGGCTTCCACGAGGAAGGTTTGAAATCCTAGGCACTCTGTGATACGAACCAGCTGAGAGGTTTAGGGAAGGGAGAACCAAGAAGAGAAGATGGATGAATGGGTGCCAGGAAGACCACGAAGGGCTTCAAATGGGAAAGGAAAGAGGTACTTTCTGTGTGTCATCTAGATCCAGGGACTCACGAATTAGTTTGAGCAGGGGAAAACCTGAGTCAGCTCTTCAGCTGCTAGAAAGCCTCTCAGGTCTCATGAGTGAAATGAAGATGGAGATGGTGAGGAAGAGTTTTATTTTGTTTGAGGAAGAGTGATTGACAGATAAAAGTGGGGTGAAGAGATGACAGAAGACAGTGGATGCCACATCATAAATCAAATCTCAGTCTTTTCTGGGGAAGCTTTGGAGAGTTCTGGGGAGGGCAGAGATCTCAGTATGCTGCTGCCATGTCCTCTGCACCTGGCCAGCCCAACTCAGGGGGACTCTCCAGTGAGAGCTTTGTGGTGAAGGGAGCACCCAGCTCATACCCCCTGACAGGACCTCGGTGGGCTGATTTCCATCCATGTGTTGGTTTTCTTAATGCTCATAACAACTTTAGGTGGGATACATGATTTCAGATTCACAGAACAGGAAACCAAAGCACAGAGAAATGAACTGTTTGGTCAAATGTTTTAGAAAGTTCTGGAGTTGGGGGTTTGAACCCAAGTCTCTCCAATCCCATGAGCTGTCCTTCTGGACCACCTGGGATGTTCTTAACAGTCAAGCTGATATACTCACAAGAGTATCTCACGCTCTAGTAGTCGTCTCTGACTTCTCCTTCCTCCCAGACAGCCTGAGCATCTTCCTGCCAGGGTGGATGCCTGGGTGCGTCTTCAGTTGTTTCTGTTGATCTCTGAGTACACTGTGTCCTCCTGTGACTTTGCCTCGAGAAGCTTCATCTCCCGCAGGTTGAGCGATGCATAATGGAGTTCCTGTTGCTCCTGGTGAGGCAAGCCATCCCCAACAGGGTGCGCTTGGGTTTGGGGGCTCTCTGGCCAGGGCTTCTGCTTGGAAGCCTGCAGGGGAGAGAAGGGGGTCATGGGAGGAACACAGAAGCATGCATGCTGTGAATTCTTCTAAGCCAATTCTTTTTTTTTTTTTTTAATTTTTATTTATTTGAGAGAGAGAGAGAGAGA